TGCAGTGTGCTGTGGTGTGCTGCAGTGTGTGCTGCAGTGTGCAGTGCTGCAATGTGTGGTGTACTGCAATGTGTGGTGTGCAATGTGTGGTGTGTTGCAGTGTGGTGTGGTGTGCTGCAGTGTGTGGTGTGCTGCAGTGTGTGGTGTGCTGCAGTGTGTGGTGTGCTGCAGTGTGTGGTGTGCTGCAGTGTGTGGTGTGCTGCAGTGTGGTGTGCAATGTGTGGTGTGCTGCAGTGTGTGGTGTGCAATGTGTGGTGTGTTGCAGTGTGTGGTGTGCATGCAATGTGTTGTGTACTGTGGTGTGCTGCAGTGTGTGGTGTGCAATGTGTGTTGTGCAATGTGTTTTGTGCTGTGCTGCAGTGTGTGGTGTGCAATGTGTGTGGTGTGCAGTGTGTGGTGTGCAGTGTGTGGTGTGCAATGTGTGGTGCGCTGCAGTGTGTGCGTTGGAGCAGCATTGCCTTTGTACATTGGGGTTCCATTCATGCCTTAACATGTGTTGGTAACCCCGGCATCACCACAATGCACCGCGGCACGAAAACCGTCCCCAACTTTTTCATCATCAAATTTTATTGTGTAAAATAATATAAAAAGTGAAAAAATCCTCAAAATTGTTACAATGAAAGCTACAAAACGAATCCTTTGTGATCGCGTTGTGTTCTGCCCAGTCTTCACCCAGATTCATACTCACCACCTGGAAAGATCATTATCCCCCCAGAATCTGCAGCTCGGCGGAGGGAGAGGAAAATGGAGTCTGGTGTTCGGAGATCCCACTCCGGGTCCGTGGGCGGCCATGTGCGATCAGACACGGTCGGCGTGTAGTGTTTTGTCATAGGTTTTTATCGGTCCTGATACTACGGGGATAACAATGGTGACATTTATATGATCATCATCTCCAGTGGTCTCTAGAATTGTAACATTGTATCTCCTTCCTAATATGTATTTCCTGTGATCCTCGGCTCCATCTAGTGGTCATAATGCTGCATTTTCCCCATTCATTATTTATGACTTAAAGGGTCACTATGGTCAAAAACTACAAATAAATCTGCATTTCAATGTTTAATTTCCAGGTTAGGTTGAGGGTAAGGGTGAGGGGTTAGGTGGATGGTAAGGGTGAGGGGTTAGGTTGAGGGTAAGGGTGCGGGGTTAGGTGGATGGTAAGGGTGAGGGGTTAGGTTGAGGGTAAGGGTGAGGGGGTTAGGTTGATGGTGAGGGGTCAGGTTGATGGTAAGGGTGAGGGGTTAGGTTGAGGGTAATGGTGAGGGGTTAGGTTGATGGTAAGGGTGAGGGGTTAGGTTGATGGTGAGGGGTCAGGTTGATGGTAAGAGTGAGGGGTTCGGTTGAGGGTGAGGGGTTAAGTTGAGGGTAAGGGTGAGGGGTTAGGTTGATGGTGAGGGGGTTAGGTTGATGGTAAGAGTGAGGGGGTTAGGTCGATGGTAAGAGTGAGGGGCTAGGTTGATAGTAAGGGTGAGGGGCTAGGTTGATAGTAAGGGTGAGGGGCTAGGTTGATGGTACGGGTGAAGGGTTATGTAGATGTGAGGGGTTAGGTAGATGGTAAGGGTGAGGGGTTAGGTTGATGGCAAGGGAAAAGGTTGACGGTAAGGGTGAGGGGTTAGGTTGATGGTAAGGGTGAGGGGTTAGGTTGAGGGTAAGGGTGAGGGGTTAGGTTGATGGTAAGGGTGAGGGGTTAGGTTGATGGTGAGGGGTCAGGTTGATGGTAAGAGTGAGGGGTTCGGTTGAGGGTAAGGGTGAGGGGTTAGGTTGAGGGTAAGGGTGAGGGGTTAGGTTGATGGTGAGGGGGTTAGGTTGATGATAAGGGTGAGGGGGTTAGGTCGATGGTAAGGGTGAGGGGGCTAGGTTGATGGTAAGGGGGAGGTAGGGGTTAGGTGGATGGTAAGGGTGAGGGGTTAGGTGGATGGTAAGGGTGAGGGGTTAGGTGGATGGTAAGGGTGAGGGGTTAGGTTGAGGGTAAGGGTGAGGGGTTAGGTTGAGGGTAAGGGTGAGGGGTTAGGTGGATGGTAAGGGTGAGGGGTTAAGTTGAGGGTAAGGGTGAGGGGGTTAGGTTGATGGTGAGGGGTCAGGTTGATGGTAAGGGTGAGGGGTTAGGTTGATGGTAAGAGTGAGGGGTTAGGTTGAGGGTAAGGGTGAGGGGTTAGGTTGATGGTAAGGGTGAGGGGTTAGGTTGATGGTAAGAGTGAGGGGTTAGGTTGAGGGTAAGGGTGAGGGGTTAGGTTGATGGTAAGGGTGAGGGGTTAGGTTGATGGTGAGGGGTCAGGTTGATGGTAAGAGTGAGGGGTTCGGTTGAGGGTAAGGGTGAGGGGTTAGGTTGAGGGTAAGGGTGAGGGGTTAGGTTGATGGTGAGGGGGTTAGGTTGATGATAAGGGTGAGGGGGTTAGGTCGATGGTAAGGGTGAGGGGGCTAGGTTGATGGTAAGGGTGAGGGGCTAGGTTGATGGTAAGGGTGAGGGGCTAGGTTGATGGTACAGGTGAAGGGTTATGTAGATGTGAGGGGTTAGGTAGATGGTAAGGGTGAGGGGTTAGGTTGATGGCAAGGGAAAAGGTTGAGGGTAAGGGTGAGGGGTTAGGTTGAGGGTAAGGGTGAAGGGTTAGGTTGAGGGTGAGGGGTTAGGTTGAGGGTAAGGGTGAAGGGTTAGGTTGAGGGTGAGGGGTTAGGTTGAGGGTAAGGGTGAAGGGTTAGGTTGAGGGTGAGGGGTTAGGTTGAGGGTAAGGGTGAAGGGTTAGGTTGAGGGTGAGGGGTTAGGTTGAGGGTAAGGGTGAAGGGTTAGGTTGAGGGTGAGGGGTTAGGTTGAGGGTAAGGGTGAAGGGTTAGGTTGAGGGTGAGGGGTTAGGTTGAGGGTAAGGGTGAAGGGTTAGGTTGAGGGTGAGGGGTTAGGTTGAGGGTAAGGGTGAAGGGTTAGGTTGAGGGTGAGGGGTTAGGTTGAGGGTAAGGGTGAAGGGTTAGGTTGAGGGTGAGGGGTTAGGTTGAGGGTAAGGGTGAAGGGTTAGGTTGAGGGTGAGGGGTTAGGTTGAGGGTAAGGGTGAAGGGTTAGGTTGAGGGTGAGGGGTTAGGTTGAGGGTAAGGGTGAAGGGTTAGGTTGAGGGTGAGGGGTTAGGTTGATGGTAAGGGTGAGTGGTTAGGTTGAGGGTGAGGGGTTAGGTTGATGGTAAGGGGGAAGGGTTAGGTTGAGGTTAAGAGTGAGGGGTTAGGTTGAGGGTAAATCTGAGAAGGGTTCATGTGGGAGGGGCTGTGCGGCTCTAACAAGCTTTGTGTGTCCCCGCAGAGTCTTCCATCCAAGAGGATTCCACGCCGAGCCAACGCCCCATCCGGTTCCTTCTTCGCAAGAGACAACACAGCCAACTTCCTGTCCTGGTGTAGAAGTATCGGGGTCGGGGAGACCTGCTTGTTTGAGTCTGAAGGACTCGGTAAGTAGCCGACGTCTCCAGCAATTGATTCAGATACTTTTGCATCTCAGCGCTGCCGATCTACTGCAGCCCCTTTGCAGCGACTTCCTGTCTCCGTGCTCTCCAGCGATGATTCCTGATGGTGACCACAGTGGAACATGTATGTCTAATGTGTGTTCATCCACTTGTAGTCTCCATTGGAAGCCCGTGTGACAGGGTGACAACGCAGGAACATGATTGGGAGACGGGGACAGAGCGTTGATGTGCAGCCAACGAAGGAGCGAGTGCTTGTAGACAGGATGTGGCTGAAAGAGGCTGCAGGAGATCAGCAGCACTGAGATGGGGATATGGGTGGAGACGGTGTTTGTTTCGGGTTTATTTCTCCTCCGTATAGTTTTGCATTGAAGGGTGAAAAGCAGAGTCGGCGGCTCTCAGAAAATCTGTTTTATATTTGACTCCAAAAGAAACAATTTCTGGAAAAATGTCAAATATGAGACAGCAAAGAAAACATCTTTTATGTCTGATGAGAGTGAGGAGTCTATTTCAGGTCTGAGCGTCTTTATCAGAGCCGATCGAAGGGCTGAGCGCATGACTGATAGATAACGCCACCGGGGAGCGCGGGATAATGGCGGCTCTGTGTGCGGGGGATGAAAAGCCTTCTGTCGGCTGACACCAGATACTCCGCCGCCTCCTCCATTCAGCGTCTTTGTGAGACTGACTCGCCGTATCTCCGCCATCATCTCTGCCATTGTATCAGAGCCGCGGCTCTCCGACGAATCAGATCTCCGGGGGACTCCGCGCATTGTCAACGCTCGCCGATGATGAGCGTGAGCGGCCATCGGGTCTCTGAAGGCCACATTGTGCCTTGCGGATCTCTTCACTCGTCCTGACAAAGAAATATCAAATGGTTTAAAATGTATCCACATGTATGAATGTATAGGGAAGGGTTAAATCTGACCTCCAGCCTCCCCTCCAGTCTTCTATCTGACCTCTGTCCTCCCCTTCAGTCTTCTATCTGACCTCCGTCCTCCCCTTCACTCTTCTATCTGGCCTCCGTCCTTCTCTTCAGTCTTTTATCTGACCTCCGTCCTTCTCTTCAGGCTTCTATCTGACCTCCGTCCTTCTCTTCAGGCTTCTATCTGACCTCCGACCTTCCCTTCAGTCTTCTATCTGACCTCCGTCCTTCCCTTCAGTCTTATATCTGACCTCCGTCCTTCCCTTCAGTCTTCTATCTGTAGACACCAGTACTAAGAAAAGATGTCCTTGAGTTGGAAAAAGTCCAGCGAAGGGCAACCAAACTAATTAGGGGCATGGAGGACCAGAGCTACGAGACGAGGCTACTAAATTTAAACATGTTCACATTAGAGGTGAGGAGATTAAGGGGGGATATGATTTCCATGTACAAAATGTTTAATGGTGGTAGCAACATTAGCGATAAACTGTTTAAAATTAACTCCGTTACAAAAACTAGAGGCCATCACCTAAAATTGGTGGAAAAAAAATTCCAGCACAAGGTGCGAAGGGGGTTCTTCACAGTAAGATCAGTTAGGGTCTGGAACTCACTGCCACAGGCGGTGATTTCAGCAAATAATGTGGAATTGTTCAAGAAACTTTTGGACGATTTCTTAAGGGACCGTAATATACAGGGGTACGGGTACTCCTAGAATGAGATCCTAATAGGTTGGACTTGATGGACTAATGTCTTTATTCAACCTCAAATACTATGTAACTATGTAACTATCTGACCTCCGGCCTTCCCTTCAGACTTCTATCTGACCTCCGTCCTCCCATTCAGTCTTCTATCTGACCTCCGGCCTCCCTTCAGTCTTCTATCTGACCTCTGTCCATCCCTTCAGTCTTCTATCTGACCTCCGTCCTCCCCTTCTATTCTATCTGAAGGGTCTGGTGCCAGTAGAGGAGTGTTGGATGGGTATATGGAAAGTCTGGTGCCAGTAGAAGGGTATTGGATGGGTATATGGAGGGTCTGATGCCAGTAGAGGGGTGTTGGTTGGGTATATGGAGGGTCTAGTACCAGTAGAGGGGTGTTGGTTGGGTATATGGAGGGTCTAGTGGCAGTAGAAGTATGTTGGATGGGTATATGGAGGGTCTGGTACCAGTAGAGGGGTGTTGGTTGGGTATATGGAGGGTCTGGTGCCAGTAGAGGAGTGCTGGATGGGTATATGGAGGGTCTGGTGCCAGTAGAAGTGTGTTGGATGGGTATATGGAGGGTCTAGTGCCTGTAGAGGGGTATTGGATGGGTATATGGAGGGTCTAGTGCCAGTAGACGGGTATTGAATGGGTATATGGAGGGTCTGGTGCCAGTAGAG